GGGAGGAGAGAGAGGGAGACAATGGGGAGGAAGGAGACGGGGGAGGGGAAGGCGAGTGGGTTACTGGGGCAGGGAGAGACAGTACACATGGAGACCGAAGGAACAGCAGAGATTCAAAGAGCGATGCCTGGAGGGACATGGGAGAGCGGGGAGGGTTTCTCCCCTGGGATGGACATGGGACATGAGAGGGGAAGGTTTCTCCCCTGGGGAAACGCAGACCCAGGGTTGGTTGGTACCTCTCTCCGACTCCCTCACTGTCCCTGGGAAGACCCCATGCTCCCTGGACCTTGGGACCTGCAGACTCCTACAGTGGTAGGGGACTAGACGGTAGCCACTAGCCCACGGTCATGTTTGGTGGCTCTGACCAGGGGTAAATATAGCAGCACCTCCAGTGCCCCGAGACCCCAGGAGGGGAAGGAGACAGGATGGACGGGGCAGATGGAGAATAAGGAAGGAGAATGGGAGACTGAGGAGGAGGAGGAGGTTCAGATACAAAGAGAGAAACCACCGTTCAGCATCTTTATGTCTCCCCTGCTCATCCTGTCCATAACCACCTTCCTGCTAGACCGTCTGCCTGAGGACAGGGATTTCTGTCTGTCTTGGTCACTGCTTTTATAGCATGACCCAGAATGCGGGACTGGAGCCAGACTACATGGATGCAGAATCCCTGTTCTGCCCCTTCCTTGCTGTGTGATCCTGACATCCTCTCTAGGTCTCAACTCACTCAGTTGCAACATGGGCCTCATAATAATGCCTTCCCCCACAGTATGGTTGTCAAGATGAAACGAGACCTAAACAAGACCGTTCCTATGAAGTGCTTGGAGCTGTGACTGGCACAGAATAGCAGGCCAATAAATACCTGTTGAATGAATGAAAGAATAGAGAGAGACAGTTATTTAGAGAGACATGGCAGTGTTGGCCATGTTCCATGGAGCTAAGATGCATCTTTCTTACTCATTTGAACATTTCCGAAAATGGGACGTGTTTTACAGTCAATGGTGTCTAACGATTCTAATGGCGTCTCCCCCAGTTTGTACTGATACATAAAATAATGCTGTAGCTTACAGTGAAGGTTAGATTTGAAGATATATGGTAAATAGATGAATTATATATATTAGGTTGAAACGCGTGATTTGGTAGCTGGGCATGGTGGCTTACACTTGTAATCCCAGCACTTTGGGAGGATGAGGTGAGAGGATTGCCTGAGCCCATGGGTTCGAGACCAGCCCAGGCAATTCGGCGAGATTTCGTGACTATAGTAAATCAAAAAAATATGTAGTTCCTGCTTTTTGGAAGGCTGAAGCAGAAGGATCGCCTGATCCCAGCAGGTCAAGGCTGCGGTGGCCGTGAGCATGCCACTGCACTCCAGCCTGGGCGACAGAGTGAGACTCCAACTCAAAAAAAAAAAACAAAAAAGAAACACATGATTTGGGATATTTAAACACTTAGAAAAATCTATTAATACAGTAGTTTTATAAGGTAAAAGAATGACAGAGAGCTACACATATGTATTACTAGAGAGTTAACATAACTCTTTATGATTACTAAAACTGAGAATGTTTTTTGACCTCAAGACCTCTTGACACTCAGAAAATTATTGAGGGCTTGGTGTGGTGGCTCACACCTGTAATCCTAGCACTTTTGTGGGGTCAAGTTGAGAGGATTGCTTGAGCCTAGAAGTTCAAGACCAGCCTGGACAACATGATGAAACCTCGTCTCTACACATGATCAAAAAATTAACGGGGTATGGTAGCACGTGCCTGTAGTGCCAGCGGCTTGGGAGGTTGAGGCAGGAGGATCCTTTGAGCCCAGGAGGTTGAGCCTGCAGGGGACTCTGATCACGCTACTGCACTCTAGCCTGGGCAATAGAGTGAGACTCATTCGAACAAAATACAATTTTTTGATGTCCCCAGTTTCTGTTGATGTGGATTATGCCTATCAATATTTACCATATTTGACATTAAAACTGAGATATTTAAGATAGCAGTAATTTGTTAGTGTAAATAAAGTATTTTTATTAAAATAAATATATTTCAAAAGACTTTGTAAGAAGGGTGGTACTGTTTACATTTTGCAGATCAAGTCTGACTCAATAGAAGACAGGATTCTCATAGCTGCTTCTGCACTCGTCTGTGCAATATCACATGACACGCACACCCTCTGGAAAACTCCACTGTACACTCATGGGAAAGAGAGTGAAAAGAGCTAATGATAGCTTCACATTATTTTGGAAATGGTTTTGACCTCGTGAACATCTCTAAAGGGTCTCAGAGACTCCCCAGGATATCCCTGGCCTTGGACCATTTAAATCGTGACCTTGAGTATATGGGAGCATGGGGGACAGAAGGGCAGGAGGCTGAGCAGGGGGATGTAGGGAGAGAAGAGAGACTTCAAGATACAGCTTTCTACAGAGAGGCAATGACAGAAGGAACTTGTGGAGGAGGCAAGACAGACAACAGGCACACAGTGGGTCCTGGGATCCTTGCCGACCAGCATAATGGAGTCCCCCCTGAACCCTTCCCATCTCTCTTTCTCTCCCTGCAGGTCTACTCTCCGGTGACCCCAGTGCCCACCATGGCCCCCCTCAACTCCTACATGACCCTGAACCCTCTGAGCTCTCCCTATCCCCCCGGAGGGCTCCCTGCCTCCCCACTGCCCTCAGGACCCCTCGCACCCCCGGCCCCCACCGCGCCCCTGGGTCCCACCTTCCCAGGCCTGGGTGCCAGTAGCGGTGGAGGCAGTGGCTCAGGGTACGGAGGCCCGGGCCCAGGGCTGGGGCCCGGGAAGGAGATGCCGAAAGGGTACCGGCGGCCCCTGGCCCATGCCAAGCCGCCATATTCTTACATCTCACTTATCACCATGGCCATCCAGCAGGCGCCAGGCAAGATGCTGACCCTGAGCGAGATCTACCAGTGGATCATGGACCTCTTCCCCTACTACCGGGAGAACCAGCAGCGCTGGCAGAACTCCATCCGCCACTCGCTGTCCTTCAACGACTGCTTCGTCAAGGTGGCACGCTCCCCAGACAAGCCGGGCAAGGGCTCCTACTGGGCCCTGCACCCCAGCTCAGGGAACATGTTTGAGAACGGCTGCTACCTGCGCCGCCAGAAGCGCTTCAAGCTGGAGGAGAAGGTGAAGAAAGGGGCGAGGAACGGGACAGGGTCTGCGGCCGCGCCCACCGCCCCGGCAGCCACTGTGGCCTCCCCGCCCCAGCCCCCACCACCAGCCCCCGAGCCCGAGGCCCAGGGCGGGGAAGATGTGGCAGCCCTGGACTGTGGCTCGCCCCCTGCCTCGGCACCCTACTTCACCGGCCTGGAGCTCCCCGGGGAGCTGAAGCTGGACGCGCCCTACAACTTCAACCACCCTTTCTCCATCAACAACCTGATGTCGGAACAGACGCCCGCGCCTCCCAAACTGGACGTGGGGTTTGGGAGCTACGGGGCTGAGGGTGGGGAGCCCGGGGTCTACTACCAGGGCCTGTATTCCCGCTCTCTGCTGAACGCATCCTAGCAGGGGGGTGGGAAGACGGTGGTGGGTATGGATTAGCTCACACCATCAGGCTCTTGGGGCCCAAGCCTTCTGGTGACACTTGGCTGATCCCATCGGTGAACATCTTGGTCAGTCTATTACTTACTGTGACGACTGCTGTCTCCGTGGGCATCGTGTTGGTCCGTTGGGTACTGTGACAACTGCCACGGACATCTTGGTGGCCCATTGGGTACTGTAAAGACTGCCCTGTTGATGGATGTTATTGGTTGGTCCCCTGGGTGTTTTGCTGGCCACCATCTGGGATGCATTTGTGTGTGATGGTGGTACCATTTCAGTGACATCTTAGACCTGTTGGGTGTTGTGATCACTTATTTTTTGGTGGACTTTTTGGCATAGTAGATGCCAAGTTGACCACCAACTTGGATAGCATCTTTTTTGGCCCATTGGGTGCTTTGATGGCCACCATGCTGGCTGGGTGACATTATCAGTGGGTCATCGTGCCCCACGATGGCCACCACAACCCTGTGTTGGTCATGTCGTCACCACCTCTTTGGTGTGGGTTGGTTGAGGAATGGAGATGACAATACTTCTTGGTTTTCTCTGAAGCTCATCCCATCCCCCAGCTCTGGTCCAGGAGAAATCAGAAAGGGCTGGCTAGGGTGAGGGGAATCTCTACTGATGTCTGGTTCTTGCCTGGGAAGCGGGATACCGGCTGTGTTTGACCATTAAAGGCACCGTTTCCGCCTCTTACTGGGTGTCTCTTCCTTGGCGGGTGGGCTCTGTGGGGCTTGAACACCTGAATTTCTGCTCCCCTGTCCCCTCTCCTTCCTGCCTGCCCCTGGGGGAGGGGTTGGGGGAGGCATCGATCTGACCTTTGGCTCTTGGCTGTCCCTGACCCCAAGGACAGTTTGTTCACAGATAGCAGCCCCCGCAGTGAGCAGTGGGGCCAGGGCAGCAGGGGGAGGTGGCTCTGTGGTGACCAAGGCCATCTCTCCACCCCCACTTCCCAGACATACTCACCTCTAGCTCTGAGGCTCAGGGAGCCTAGGTCCTGCTCAATGTTGGGCTAGGCTGGGGAGGAGGAAGAACAGATGAAGTGTTAATTGAAGGACTAGTGACGGTGTGTGTGTTGGAGTTTATCTGCGTGTGTGTGTGTGTAGACGTGCGTGCATGCTCTGTGGGTTTTGGATATCACTATGGCTATTGGGGTCCCCATGGTCTACTGCAGGGGTGATCTGTTGTTTGTATCTCTCGATTCTTTTTTTTTTTAGTTGGAGTCTCACTCTGTCGCCCAGACTGGTGTGCAGTGGCCGCTCCCGGCCACCACAGCCTCGACCTGCTGGGCTCCGACGATCCTTCTGCCTTAGCCTTCCAAGTAGCCGGAATTACAGGCATGCGCTACTGAGTTTTTGATTTATTGTAGAGATGAGGTCTCGCTGCCCAGGTGGGTCTCGAACCCGCGGGCTCAGGCAATTCACTCATCTCAGCCTCCCAAAGGCGCGGGATTGCAGGCTGAGCCACCAAGCCTGGCTATTTCTCGATTCTGTGGGTCTCTGTGTCTGTCCCTACTCTCAGTGAGTGCTTACTCACGCTGAGTGTCTCCGAACATCAGACTCTTGTGTATGTGTCTTTATTGTTTTGTGTGTGTGTGTTTCTCCTTTGTATACCCATTCTTGGTCCCTCTGGGTCTCACACTGTTACGTGTATGTCTGTATAGCACTTTGTCTGCCCACCCACTCCCTCAAAGTGTGTGTGTCTGTGTGTGCATGTGTGTGAGATGACATTGTAGGTCTGCCTGACATTGTGTGTTTTATGTATATCTCTGTGAGTCAGCACTTGTCTGTATGATTTTGCCTTTGTTTTTTTGAGTCAGGGTCTCACTCTGTTGTCCAGGCTGGAGTGCAGTGGCACGATCACGGCTCACCACAGCCTGGACTTCTGGGCTCAGGTGATCTTTCTACCTCAGCCTCCCAAGTAGCTGGGATTATTGGCGTGTACCACCCCACTTGGCTAATTTTTTTATTTTTTGTAGAGACGAGGTCTTGCTGTGTTGCCCAGGCTGGTCTTGAACTCCTGGGCTCAAGTAATCCTCCTGCCTCGACCTCCCCAAATGCTGAGATTACAGACGTGAGCCACCATGCCTGTCCTATGTCTGTATGTTTAAAGCAAAGTATGTGTGTCTGTCTGTGTATGGTGCCTGCCTCTGCTGTGTGCCCGTCACTGTTGTGTGAGCCCGTGTAGAGAGACTGCTGGCTTGGTGTACATCTGCCACTTTTGCAGGAGATTGTGGGGAAGGAGCTGGGATCTCCTCGGGCCATTGTGGGGTCTGGATTTGGGATGTGGTCTCTGTCCCTCCAGGTCGCTCCAGTGGCTCTGAGTCTGCCTGTCTGTCGCCCAGATGTTCTGAGAACATGATTCTCTCCGAAACACAACTGTGCACCTCACACCCTCCTTTCAGGATAGAAACTGAGGCCCAGAGGGGAAGGGACTGGGCCAGAGTCCCTCAGCGGGGCTGGAGCAGGTGGGAGGGTTGTGCGGATACTGTTTTTGGCTTCTGTACCTTTTCTTTTCCTGGTTGTCAGTGCTGTGGCTGTTTGTGCATTTATTCAGCCAGCCAGCCCCTCAGTCATTCAAAGTCCAAAACTTCTGTCTCTCTTTATCCACCTGTGTGTATGTGTCTGCGCCTTCCAGTTTCTGTGTCCATCTTTTTCCTTATCTCTTATTGTCATCTCTTTCTGTGTCACTCCACCCCTGACCCTCTCTGTGTGTCTCAGTCTGTCCAGCTCGCATCTGCTCTGCCTTGCGTTCGTCCCCTCTGTCTCTCTGTCTCTGTCTCTCTCTCCCGCTTCCTTCTTTCTCTCTGTTACTTTGACTCCCTCCCTTCCCCTCCCTGTGTCTCTGGGTTTCTCCCTCCTTCTCTCGGGAACTCTGACTCCTCTTTTCTTGGGGTCTGTCTCCCCCACACTCTTTCCTTGAATCTCTGGTCTCTCTTCGTCTCTGGCCTTCCTCCCTCTCCCAGCTCCCGGAGTTTCCGCCTCTACCTGCCACCTCGCAGGCCAGGCCCTCTATTTCTGTCCCTGTGCTCGTCTTGCCGGCTGCGTGTCACCCCCGCCCCCTGCCGTGCTGGCTCCCTGACCCGTCCCACCAGCCTCGCTGTCCTGGGCAGGCCGGGGAATTCCTCCCGGTTCCTGGAAAAAACAACTGGGGCCGACAGAAAGGCCCTCAGTCTCCCCGGGCACCGGCCCCCCTCCCTCGGGCCTGGGGGTCTCTCCCTGAGCCGGCCAGCCTGAGGCAGGAAGCCCTGCGGTTTCTGGCTTCTCCCAGGCGGCCTCCGGATCTGGCCCCCGCCCCCCGGCCAACAGCCCAAATATTATTCCGCGGGAGGAGTCCGTGGTGGCGGGAGGAGGTTCAGGCTGAAAGAGGCTTTCAGGGCGGCCAGGCCTGGGGCTTCCTGTCCCCAGGCTCGGGCCTCAGGCCGCCCCAGTGGGGACCTCAGGTGGCCGGAGGGGCGGGGTGTTGTTATAGGGTCCTCGGGGGAGGGTGGGGCCATCCGTCGGGGTGTCTGGTGGCCACCGGCTCTGCTGGCGTGGGCAGGTGTGACCCCCACCCCAGGGACAGTCGGCCGATGTCCAACATGGAAAAGTACCACGGTCAGACGTGGGACACACGGACAGACATGGGGACGCCGCGGATCAGGGATGGGGGGTGGCCATGGGGACACAGGCGGCCCTGAGCTGTGAGCCTGTGGTGACACAGTCCAAGGGAGGGCCATGGGTGGGGAAGCCAGGGCCGGGGCAGGGTCCCAGCTGTGGGCAGAGGGCTGTCTCCACTGGGAACATAAGATGATGATGATGATTTTTTAAAAAGCTACTAGGGCTTCCCACGGGTCCAGCATTGTGAGAGCAACTTATTGAGTGACTCGATCTCTCCTGCTGCCCCCAACTTTACTGTTGGTGAAACTGAGGCATAGAGAGGTGAAATCACACAGATAATGAGTGGGGTGCCTCAAACCCGGGCCGTCTGGCCTAGAGTCAGTGCCCCAACCTCCCTGCCATTCTAGAGGCCAAGAGGGGCAACAGCAGTGCCACAGAGTCCTGGGGTCCCAGGCCCTCCCTGGCCGGCACCCCCACTCTCCACCACAGCCCACTGTGGGAGGAGACAAGCACCCCCAGGAGCTACATACACACCCATAACTGGGCAGTTTACAAGTGTGTGTGTGTGTCCAAGTCAGTGTGCTTGCCAGCGGGCTTCATTCATGTGACCTCAGCCTCTCAGTGTCATTGTGCCTGCCTGTGGGCATATGTGTTACTCCATGGTGTGGCTCTGTTTGGCGTGTTAGTGTGTGTATGTGTGTGTGTGTGTGTGTGTGTGTGTGTGTGTGTGTGTGTGTCTTGGTGTCAGTGCCTGTTACTGGGTTTGTGTGGGCACTGCTACTTGTATCATTGTGTATATGTATATGTCACCATTTTGTCTGTCATTGTGTTCTTTGTAGTCTGTCACTGCATTCTCTGCATCTGTCCATCACTGTGCTTGTGTCTTGTCCCTGTGTCTCTGTGCCTGACAACATGTTTGGCTGTCATTGTGTTTTCTTTTTATTTTTTTGAGTTGGAGTCTCACTCCGTCACTCAGGTTGGAGTGCTGTGGCACACTCACGGTCACCCCAATGTCGATCTGCCAGGCTCTGGTGATCCTTCTGCCTCAACCTTCCAAGTAGCCGGAACTATAGGCGCACACTACCACGCCCGGCTAATTTTTTATTTATTCTGGAGATGAGATCTCGCCAAGTTGCCCAGGCTGGTCTCGAACCCGCAGACTCAGGCAATCCACTTGCCTTGGCCTCCCAAAGTGCTGGGATTACAGGCTGAGCCCAGCCCGTTGTGTTTCCTATGTGCATCCCTGTGTGTGTCTGTCCCTGTATCTGTTACAATCACTCTGGGCCTGTCACCGTGGCTCTGCCTATATCTGTCACTGTGTGTCACCGTTGTGTATGTGTCACCATCTACCCAGGTGTCACTGTGTGTTACTCACCGCCCAGGCCACAGGTGGGTGTGTTGGGCCCACTGGTGCCAGCGCTGGGGCCCAGCCCATCCCACCCTCGCCGACCATGGACCAGGCTGGGCGCCTGTTTGCCATGCCTGCCCCAGGTAAACACCAAGATCCGGAACCCAAGAGCCACCTCCCTCACCTCCACTCCCTGTCCCTCAGCCTGCTCTGGGCTGGGGTGGACCCGAGCCCTGCAGATGGTGCCCCCTAGACGGGAACCGTGCCCAGATTCTCCCCTACCTGTTGGCACCAGCCTCCCAGAGCCCCCAGCCTTGGCCTTGGCCTTGACTGCTTCTCTTTCTGTGTCCCTCTTGGGTGTCTCCTCACTTCTCTATTTCTTTCCATCCCTACTTCCTCTCCCCTGGGCTTCTCTGTGGCTTTGCCTTTTTCTGGAATGACTCTTGTCTTTGTTCAGTCCCTGTCCCTCTAACTTTTCCTGTCTCTCTTCAGGGAAGTGCACTTTCTCTATGTGTCTTGCCGATGTGTGTTCACTTGAGTCATCTGTCACTTGCTTTCTAGCTCTGGGTGTCTCAGCAAGTCTCCTTCTGTCTCGCTTTATAAGTTCTCTCTCTCCCTGTCTCTCTCTCAGCCTGAGCTCTTAGTCCTGGGCGTTATCTCTGCGGTCTCTGACCCCCCAACCCTCACAGGACCCTTGGGGGGAGAGTGTGGCCCCCAGCCCCCGAGCCCCAGCCCGCTGGTATATATATAAAAATGTATATGTACATATTATTTATATCTGTACCCGGGGCAGGAGGGGCAGACACTGGGGCCTTTGTGCAGCCACTGCCCGCTGCCCGCCCGCCCGCCACGCCTCTCCCTTCGTCCCTGCCGCCCGCCGGCCTCCACTCCCCCCCCACAGAAAGGTTCCTGTGGGGCCTGCCAGCTTCCTCTGCCTGAGGTGTGAGTGGGCACGCCACGGGTGAGGCGGGCAGGGGGGCCCAGGGGGTTTTTCCAGCCCCAGGGAGCTTTCCGGGTGGGGAGGGTTCTGGAAGGAATGGGACTTCTCAGCTGGACTGCTGTCTGTCTGCATCTGCTGTCCCTGGGTGTCCCCGGGTCCTCAGCTGGCCTCTCCCTGGGGGTCTCTGAGTCCGTCCATCCATCCAGGTGTCGTTCTGACTTTGTCTCTGTTGGCTTGAGGTCTGGTTCCCTCATGCACACCCCGTTGCCGGGCATTTGTGCTAGGCTCTCTGTGAAGCATGGGACACACAGATAAACGTCTGTCCCAGCTGACTCTTTGCCATTTCTGTCCCATTTGCTCCAACCCTTCACCCACTGCTTGAAACCTTCCACCTGTTCTTATGAAAACAAAATCCAAGTTCTTATCATAGCCCACAGGCCTCCCTTAATGGACCCCCACTATCCCTCTCTGACTTCACTTCCTGTGACTCTCCCTTGCCAGGGCTGTCTTGGTCGCATTGGCCACTTGGCTGCTTCCAGCAGGCTCCTACCTCAGGTCCTTTGCACGTGCTATTCACCCAGGTTTCCCCTGGCTCACTCCCTCACCTCCTTCAGTTCCTAGTGCCATCTCCTCAGTGAGTCCTTCCTTGCATCCCTAAAACAGCAGTCCCCACCACTATCCCCTTTTCCCTGGTGTATTTTTTCTTCTTGGGACTCACTGTTCTGTGGCTGTCATATTTTCTGGTTCTGAGTGTATCTCCCACCTGAACGTCAGCTCCGTGAGAGGAGGGACTGCATTCTGTCCCCTGCTCTATCTACATCCTCTACCCCAGTGCTTGTCACATGGTGGATGCAGACTAAACATTTGGTAAAGAAGAAAAGAAGTCCATTCATCTATCCAGCCTTTGAGGCCCGTTGTGGTGGCCCATGGCTGTAATGGCATACACTTTGGGAGGCCGAGGTGAGCGAATCGCTTGAGCCCAGGAAATTGAGACCAGTCTGGGCAATGTAGTGAGACCTCGTCTCTACAAAAAATAAATTCGCTGGGTGGGGTGGTGCGTGCCTGTAGTCCCAGCTACTCGGGAGGCTGAGGTGGAAGGATCGCCTGAGCCCAGGAGGTCAAGGCTCATGGACTTGGAATGATGAACAGTGATCACGCCATTGCATTTCAGCCTGGGTGACAGAGTGAGACCCCAACTCAAAAAAAAAAATTCTATCCCTTAAACTGGCCCTGTGTCAGGGGATGCAGGGGACACAGAAGTGACCAAGACAGCCCTGGCCCTGCCCTTACGAGACTCACAGTTTAGTTGCCAGACACCAGTGATCCAGAATGGGCAGGGTTGGGACTGGGGGAGCACAGGGGGATGTGGGAGCCCCAAAATGGCACCTGATGCAGCCTGGGTAGCAGGGAGGGCTTACTGGAGGAGAGGTCAGCTGAGCTAAGACCTGAAGATGAACAGGAGTGAGCTGGGGACCCTGCTCTGACATTTGTGACAAAATGACCAAAATAGACCCAGCCTTGTGCTTGTCTCAGAGCTCCCACTCTCTCCCTCTGTCTCACTGAAGCTTCGATTTCAAGGATGTCTTAACTCCAGTTCAAGCCTGGGCCTTTTGCTGATGCCCCATCTCTCGGCATCTCAGTCTCTCTTCTTCCACGTCGGCATCTCCCCTGTGAATCTCAGTCTCTCTCAACCCATCTGGAAATTTCTCCATCTAGCTCTCTTTTCTGAAGATCAGTCTCTTCCTCTCTGTGTCTGCTTCATCAACCTTATCTCAGAGGGTCTCTCGAGTGTCTCCCTGTCTCTCTGACTCCTGTGTCTTGTCTCTTTCAGTGAGCTGGCCTCTCTCTGCATCCCTCCCTCCCCACCTCTGCTGTCTCCCAGATTTCCCTGGGTCTCTCCCTACGTCTCCCCTTTCTTGAAGTCTCTTCACCTACTCACTGATTCCCAAATAAGTCCAGAACCCCTCCACCCTGACCCCACCCTGGCACTGGGGGAAGGGGGACTGATCCAGCCCCCCACACCCACACAGGTCAGTCTGTCTGCTCTGTTAATCGTTAACTCAGCCTCTATCTAGAATACACACCAGCCAGGCTGGGGGTGACTCCCCTGCCCCCCACCCACCTACCAGCTGTTCTTAAAGGACCAGGTGTCCTCCACAGCTCTTCAGCTCCCACTGGGGCCCAGGGACCAGGTGTCTGGAGTCCTTGAGCCCAGAGGATTTGGGGGATGGGAAGATGCCCAGTACTTGGGGTCTGCAGAGCTGGGTCAGGGGAGGCCACCGGCTTCTCTGGGAGGGGAGCCCAGATTCCATCCAGCGTCTCTCTTGCCCCAGGCTTATCGCCTGGTGTATTTAATCAGGGGTGGTTTTCCCAGCCCTGCCCAGGCTGGCAGTGCCAGGGGTGGCAGAGCACCTGAGAGCGGATGGCTGGGGGCGAGGGGGGGACCCCTCAGTCCAAGAGCTGAAGGTCCTCCAGATGTGAAGAACGAGGCCCCAGAGCCCCTGATATTTGGAGTTAGGACATGTGGGTCTGCAAGTACGGGCAGGACATCCGATGAGTCAGGAAGTCAGGGTCTTCCGGACTTAGGTGACAAAACACCTGGGTCCCTGAAATCTAGGGGCAACCTTGGGTCCCAGCTGACAGCGCTATGCGGTGGCAGGACACGATCGCTCCCCATCTCTCTCCCTCCCGTGGCCTTTGAGCCCGGTATCCCCCCTTCCCGGAATCCGCACCGCGGGGGCGCGGGGAGGCCGCGGGGATGGGGGCTGGGCTCCTGGGGCCGCCCCCTCCCTTAACCCCTGCTTTGCCGCGGCCCGCTCAGGCCCCGCCCCGTGACGCCAGAGAGCAGGAAGTCCTGGTTAATGATCAGCTACCCCGACAGGTGCGGGACAAGGCCGCGCACATCAGAGGCGGCCGCGGGGGGGCCACCCAGCCCGCTCGTCGCAGTGCGCTCGTGGCCGCGGAGGGGGCTTTTCTCCCGAGGTGAGGGTGGGAACGAGGCTCCGAAGCTGCCACATTGTTTCCAGGAATCCCGTTAGTTTACCTCATGGCCGATTTCCTTTCTTCGGCAGTCTCTCCAGCAGTCCACCCGCAGCTGTCCCCCTACTCAGTTAAGAACCCGCGGCCCCTTTCCCCTACCTTCGTGGGCACTGAGTCCCCCACATTCCGTGGGGTGGGCGGGTTGCATCAGGAAGCCTGTCCCCGAGCCCATCCGTGGCTCCCATGCCAGAGCCACCCGCGGTCTGAGCCTCAGCTCTATTGTCTGGAGAACGGGTCGATGGCCAACACGGTCAGCCGGTGGACAGCGCCGTGAAAAGCCCGCGAGCGGGCCGCCTGGGTGAAGGGCGCCACCTGCAGGCCACAGCGCGACGCCCTCTCCCCTGCAGGACCAGTTCCGTCCCAAAGGGGGCGCAGCATCTCACACAACTAAGGCACCAAGAAAGAAAAAACCCATCTTTCGGTTTATTGAAGGAGCAGAGGGGGCCAGGAGAGGGGGGGCAATAAAATGCTTTTGCCTCATTTATAAAGAGCGAGTTTTCAGGAGGCCCCTTCTCAAGGAGGGGGGGCGCCTCTCCCCCAACTACAAGCAGCAGCAAAGCCAAGCCAAGGAGGGGAGAGGGAAACCGGAGGGGCCCAGGGACCCCAACACCCTCTCGCACAGGAGCCACAAACTTTCTCCCCCCACCCACAACGCATCTACCCCGGGGGACCCATCTGGGTGGAGGAAGGGGGTATGTACACAGGTAGGGGTGGCTCTGGGCGGGTGGGGGAGGGAATAATTTATCCGCAGCAGCGGTGGGTGGCAAGGGGGCTGGGGCAGTGGCCTGGAGGCAGTGGTGGCCTAGGGGTCCCGTTCTTTCTTAACCTTGATGTCTCCGGCAAGGATGGTGGCGATCTCGCCCTGCATGAAGGCCCAGGGGACGGAGGAGCCCACCAGCGGGCACTTGTCGCCACTCGGGCAATACACCTCCCCGGCCGGGCCCTGCGCCTTAATGAACTCCCGGGAGCAAGGAAAGCAGAACTTGTGTCCGGGCACCGAGGGGCACTGAACGAAGTGGGTGTCTTCCAGCCGCTCCCTGCACAGGGTGCAGCACAGGGGGGCTCCTGGGGTCGCCCCGGTGCCGCTCCCGCCCCCGCTGACAGCCTCGGCCCCGGCCGTGGGGCTGACTTCGGCCTCACCGTTGCGCGCCACCAGGCGATGCTGGGCTGGAGGCTGGGCCGTGGAGGAGGCCGCGGGGCTGGCACCCCCTGCGCGCACGGGGCCCCCGCCCCCGCCGGGGTCCTTGGGTGAGTGGCCCAGGGCCTCAGCCACATTCTTCAAGGCGGCGATGGGGGAGGGCACGCCGGGGGTCTCGGCGGAATACGGGCCGCCGGGAGCCACCCAGTGTCGCTGCTGCTGCTGCTGCTCCTCGGTGGTCATCTTGCCGGCCGCCTCGCCCTCGGGTTCAGGGGATGCCTTGCGCCGGCGCGGCGTGGGCGCCAGGTTCCGGGAGGGGGCTCGAGGGGGCGGCCCGCACAGCGCCGCGGGCGCCGGCTCCGGGTACTGCTGGGGCAGGGCCTCCGCGGGAGCGGGCTCGCGGAAGCTGCGGACCCCGTCGGTGAGCAGCTCACCCAGCTGGCGCCACTCGCCCGAGCCGTGCCGGCGTTCGTATTCGAGGTACTTGAAGCCCGAGGAGGCCAGCGCCTTGCCCGGCTCCCGCAGGGCATCGTGGAACATCTGGCGGGCCACGGCCAGGACCCCCGCGTACACGTTGCCGGAGCCACACGGGTACTCGGTGAAGAGCTTCAGCTCGAACTCGTAGCCTGGCGGGCGGGCAGTGGCGTCGAAGGCGAACACCCGCCCCACCAGCCCGTGATCCTTCTTGAAGCGGACGTTGAAGGGGGCGCAGGCGGACAGCGCCAGCAGCTGCTCCCGCACTGCCTTGGGGCGCCCGTGCCACTCCTCTGCCCGGCCCCGCATGGCCTCGTTCAGCTCCGCCAGGCAGTCCGCATTCCTCTGCTGCTTCTCCTTCTCGAAGTCGGAGCCGAAGATGGGGCGGGCCGGACTCAAGCCGGGGGCCAGCGTCAGACCTCGGCTTCCCAGGCCGGACACCGCAGCAGCCAGCAGCCCGGGGGGCATCAGGCCGGGCATGGAGCCCAGCAAGGCCCTGCGCGCCCCCTCGGCCACGGCCTCCTCGCGGCCCAGCCCGTTGGCCAGGCGGGAGCCCAGCGTGTACTCCAGGGCGGGCGAAGGCAGGGGGAGGCGGCCCGACGAGGTGGCCCTGTCGTAGCGGTCCGGGCCCGAGAC